GAGAAATTCGACCACTCAGACAAACCCCACCTTTGTAACACACTCACACACCCTAAACCCTAAACCCTAAACCCCAAACCCTAAACCCTAAACCCTAAACCCTAAACCCTCACTTCATTATGTTCAGACTCGCTCCATGGTGGTGCTGAAGGCAGACACACACAAAAGAAGACAAGCTCGCGGCCTCAAACCCTAAACCCTAAACCCTAAACCCTAAACCCTCAACGCAGCATGCATAGCCAGAAAGGGATCCTAACTCATCAGGTCTAGTTAGGGTTTAGGGTTTAGGGTTTAGGGTTTAGTACCTTGGAGTGTGGGTCGGAGTACATCCTCCTCTGTCTTGTCATTTTCTCGGCAGGGTCCTCCTTGGTGCTGCTGCTGCTGCTGCTGCTGCTGTTGCTGCTGCTGCTGCTGTTGTTGCTGCTGCTGCTTGTGTCAGACGTGTTGCTGCTGCTGCTGCTGCTGCTGCTGCTGCTGCTGCTGCTGCTGCTGTCAGCTGCAGAAGCGTCCCTCGGCTCTTCTCTTTTTGTGTGTGTGTGCAGCAGCAGGTATTGCTGTTGCTGCTGCTGCTGCTGTTGCTGCTGCTGCTGCTGCTGTTGCTGTAGCAGCAGCTGTTGCTGCTGCAGCGGTCCCCGGTATAGGAGCAGCAGATGCTGCTGCTGCTTCAGCAGTGAGGCTCTAGGCTGAGCAGCAGAGCGTCCCCCAGCAGCAGCAGCAGCAGCAGCAGCAGCAGCAGCAGCAGCAGGAGGGTTTACAGCAGCAGCAGCAGCAGCAGCAACTGCTGCAGCAGGCCCAGCAGCAACAGGAAGCAAAGGCCTCAGCAGAGAAAAAGACAGAGAGCTGCGGGGCCCCACGAGGTGTACATACACCCGAAGCATCTGAGGCGCAGCCAGCTGGCCGCAGGTGTCAGTTGAAGCCACAAAACCCTAAACCCTAAACCCTAAACCCTAAACCCTAAACCCTAGATCATTAAGTCTAAACCCTCGATCCGAAACCCTCAGATAGAAAACCCAAAGCGGAAACACAAAAACACTAAACCCTAAACCCTAACAACCCTAAACCCTCAATCGTCAACCCTAAACCCTAAACCCTAAACCCTAAACCCTAAACCCTAGGCCAGACAAAGTGAGTCATAGGGAGTATAAAAAGGAAAAGAGAACAAAAAAGAAGGTGTTTGTGTAGTGCAGCGCGCAGCAACAAACCCTAAACCCTAAACCCTAAACCCTAAACCCTAAACCCTAATCGTTGGAGCGAGTGGCGCGTCGGCTGCAGCCCCAGCACTCAACCGCTCAAACCCTAAACCCTAAACCCTAAACCCTAAACCCTAAACCCTAAACCACCGATTAAATGATTTAAATTCTTTTATTGTTTCTCTTTGTACTTCTGCTTGCAGCAACAAACAAACCCTCTTGCTAGCGATAGCTGTGTGCCTGGTTTAGGGTTTAGGGTTTAGGGTTTAGGGTTTAGGGTTAGGGTTTCTTCTGCTTCTCCTGCAGCGCATCTCCCTCTATTCTAGGGTTTGAGGCGAGCACCCGAGGGTTTAGGGTTTAGGCTCTAGGGCTTGGGGTTTAGGGTTTAGGGTTTAGGGTCTAGGGATTAGGGTTTATAGATGCTGTCGCTCTTTCCTTCTTTGGCTGTGCAAACCCTAAACCCTAAACCCTAAACCCTCGTTTCCGCTTCTGCGTTGTCTCATCTCTTTGAGGCTTTGACTCTCTCCTCCCTAAACCCTAAACCCTAAACCCTAAACACTATACTTACTCCTTATTAAACCCTAAACCCTAGATCCTCTCGCTAAACCCTAAACCCTGTCCCAAAACCCTAAACCCTAAACCCTCGCTATACACCCCAGACATCCAACCCTATCTCTCCCTAAACCCTAAACCCTAAACCCTTTCTTTATCTCTCTCTCTCTGTCCCTAACCTAAACCCTAAACTGTTTCCTTCTCTCTCTCTTTCTCTCCTTCTCTCTAAACCCTAAACCCTAGCCTCGAACTCTGTGTTGTATTGTTTCTTATCTGTTTCTTTTTTTTTTTTGTTTCTCTAGGGTTTAGGGTTTAGGGTTTAGGGTTTAGACAGTGCGATGACATCACTAGCGCTAACAGATGCCGAGGGTTTTGGGTTAGAGTATAGAGAAGAATTGATAGATTTAGAGAAATTAGGGTTTAGTGTTTTAGGGTTTACGAGGGTTTGCATAGAGAAGCTGCTAGAAAACCACAAAACTTTTATCTTTGATATTGATGGTGTTCTTCTATGGGGCCATAAGCCCCTACATAGAGCAGCAGAAACAATAAATATAATACGCAAAAAAAATAAAAATATTTTATTTGTAACAAATACAGCCACAAAAACCAGAAACAGTTGTGTACATACACTCCAACTAGCAGGAATACAAGCCTATGAACATGAGGTGCGCGTACACCCCAGGTTTATATATTTATTTATTTATATATTTATATTTATTTATTTATATTTATTTATTTATATTTATATTTATATTTAT